GCAATGGAGGGGGGGTGGAAATGAGGAACATTTGTAATAATATGAACAATAAAGATTTATTTAAAAAAATAAAAAATAAATAGCCTATATAATAAAAGGCTAATATACTAAGTGTCTGGTTGGCCATTCAACCAATCAAAGCATAATATGCTAATGATATGTTAAAGCCGCTCAACTATTCACTATGACATGCACTGACCACCAGGGGCAGACGCTCCAACTGGTAGGTTAGCTTGCTGCTGGGGTCTGGTAGATTGGGACTGAGCGAGATAGGCAAGATACATGCTGAAGCCTTCCCGTGTCCCTCCCAGCCCCTTATTATGCACTGGTAGGGTCCCTTGGCCTGGCCTGTACCCTCTGACAATCCAGGACACCCCCCCATTCCCCTGCCCCAGGGATGTCAGAGAGCTGGTTTTGGCCCAATCCCGCAGGCCAGTCCAAGGGACCCCACTGGTGAACAAATTTGTGCACAGGACCGCTCGTAATATAATTTTCTGGGGCATTCCAGCCATACTATATAATAAAGAGGTAATATTCAAATTGACTATCACTCCAACACACAAGATGGCCACCCTCATGTGGTTAAAGATGGCCACCACTGATGGCTGGCAGGGGAGGGCAGCTGGGAGGGACCAAGCCTGCAAGAGAGAGTAGTTGGGGGCGATCAGGCCTGAAGGGGAGGGCAGTTGGGGTGACCAGGCCAGCAGGGGAAGGCAGTTAGGGGCAATCGGGTCAGCAGGGGAGGAGCTAGGCATCAATCAGGCTGGCAGGGGAGTGGTTAGGGGGTGATCAGGAAGGCAGGCGAATGGTTGGGAGTCAGCAGTCCTCGAGAGATCCCAGATTGGAGAGGGTGCAGGCTGGGCTGAGGGACATTATGTGCACCTGCCTCTAGAGTCGCCCAGTCTTCTCAGTCCCCCAGCTGCCCAGGGCTAGCCTGAGGCACAGGTAAGCCTTGGATGGTGGCTTCCCAGCCACCCAGGACCACCTGAGACTCAGGCAACCAGGGCTGGCCAAGGCTTGCGCTGCTGGCAGTGGCAGCAGCAGAGGTGTGATGGGGCGTTGCCTTCTCCTGATCGTCGAGTCACCTCCTGCCCCTGAGGGCTCTCAGACTGTGAGAGGGGGCAGGCTGGACTGTGGGACCCCCGCTTTAGTGCATGAATTTTCATGCAGGCCTCTAGTAATCTATAATAGGAAAAGAACAAAGTGGGAGGCCAGACATTATAAGCATAGTCATTTGGGCAGCTTCACCAGAAAGCTGCAACTTCACACTCCCCAGGAAGCCACTGGTCTATTTTCTGCAGAGCACTGTGGAAGGAATTGGACAAAGGGGAGGATGGACACATGTGTAGTAAACTTGGGGCGCCCATCAATCCAACTTGGGAATAGATATCATTGGCTAGGATGGGTGGAGCCAATCCAAAACCTGGGAAAACCTGGGAACACATAACAAAGAAGCTCACCCTTTTGGCTCTCTTGGTTCCTTAGTTCATTTGGCTTGTTCCTACCCATGTTCCCTCCGTAGTCTTGGGGCCCTGCAGACCCTTCATGCAATGGACTGATGAGCTACAATGTGGAACACAAGCTAAGCTAGCCTGATGCTGGATTAGACTGTGCAGACATGGAATGAAAACTGGGCAAAAGCTTTAATCCTAGCCCTATAAAAGGTACAGCTGGACCTTTTCCTTGGTGGGATGAAGTGGAAACTGAGGGATATAATTCCACAGAAATAAAGCTTTCTACAATATCTCATTCTCCTGTGCGAGTCTCAGAAAATTCCTTTTCTCAATATATCACAAGAAACCCACAGGGAACCTATGGGGATAAGGAGAGCTCCCCACTGATTACAGTTTTAGTGTTTTTAAAATTAATACTTTCCAGAACTTTCATTTATTATTATTATTATTATTATTATTATTATTATTATTTTGATTATACATGTATTTAATGCTATTTTTATGGCTCTTTTCCCATCCCTTATTTTTTATGAGACTATGATCTTTCAATTTTGCAGTTAGCTGGGATTACTATATATAAGAATAATATCCAACACATATCTGCCACTTAGAATCTGACATTGTATCAGACCCTGGTCTAAATACTTTTTTATATCAACTCAATCTTTAAAACTATGATGTAGGTATTATTACTATCCCCATTTTATAGATGAAAAGACAAGCAAAGGGAGCTAAATAATTTGCTCAAAGATGTCCAGCTAGTACATTTTTAAAAGACTAGAAGAAAACACACCAAGGTGATTTTTCTCAAGGCATGAGGTTATAAAGGACTTTTAAGAGAAATGTCATAAGATCTTGGACAGCTGAGTTGGAAAGGAGAGGACAGATTTCAGAGCAGTTTAAGAGAAAATACTGTCAGAGCTTGTGGGTTGATTGATTCCACCTGGGGTAGAGGAGAGGGAGAGGGGTCTTAATACTTCAGCCTCTGGCTCAGGGTCTGAGTGAATATGATCACTGAGGTAGGGAATATGGAAGATTGGAGCAGCTCTGAAAGAGAAGATGATGTGCTCAGTCTTAACACATTGTGCTTTATTTTTGTTTTATTTATTTTTTTGAATTTCTTTATTGATTAAGGCATCACATATTTGTCTTCAACCCCCCATGAGCTTCATCGTGAACTAGAGGCTCAATGCACGAAATTCATGAAAAGGGTTTGGCCCTTGTAGCCTGGGCTGTGCCCATGCTTTGTCTGAAAGGTCGTCCAGATGGTTGTTCTGCTGTTTGGTTTATTTAGCATATTAGCTCTTTATTATATAGGATTATTTAAATATGCAAATTTTAAACTCAAGAAAGAACTTGAGAGTCTTCACACAGAGCTGGTAGTTGAACCTAAAAGACAGGTTTCCAAGGAAGCAGGGGAAACACTGTGGGCCAAGGATAAAACTCTGGAGAACTTTAACTTTATGTGATTGACAAGGAATATGATGGCTATTCAGATTTAACATTAAAATAGATATGAAATGCAAGGCATACGTTTGCTTTTCCAGCTAGGTTTCATTTATGAGAGATAAAGTAGCATGGGAGTAGCTAGGGCAGGACAGTCAGAGAAATTTGGGTGCAAATCTAACACTTTGCCACTTAATAGCTTTATCACTGCTGTCAAGTTACTAAGTGTCTGTGAGTGATTAATACACTACTCAAACCATCATGGGTATTAAATGGGTTAATCCACAAAAGCACGTCTATGGCCTAGTGCCTAGCATGTAGCGTGGACCCAATAAATATTCAATGTTATCACTAATGAGTACACAAATCATAAAATTATTTTTCATTTCACTATCATGCTTTACCAGTTGAGAAAATGGTCAGGAAGTCTGTTAGTTACCATAAATAAATAAACTACAGTGGAATGAAATAATTGTACGAGAGCTACCAAAATAATTTGCAGACACTCAAGAACTGATATTTTCCCATGAATTTATATGGTATAGTACAAGTAAACAGGTAATTGCTGTTGGTTAAAATAATTAGAAATGCTGGTTTATGAGCTACAAGCCTATTTAAATTTTTCTTTTGCCCTCTAAATATTTAATAACTAGCCCCACTGACTGGCAGTAAGTAGGTAATAAATGTTAACTGGATGTAACAAAGTGATTTCATAAAAATAGGAGATAGTGTTTTTATATCTGCTGTTAAACATTTCACTATTGGAAGAATTAACACTCCTGCCATGAAAAAGTAGACACCGAACGTGTCATGTGAAATCTCTCGAGTTTGGTTATGCAACTCTTTCCCCATCCGTACCTGCCACATTTTTGAAATTCCCAGCCTTCTATAGGTTTCCTTTTGGAACGAGGTTTAGAAGCCTCGCAAGGGCTCATTAACATGCAAAATATGTCCTCTGCAAATGGGAGCCAACTGGGCTTCTGGTAGACACTGACACATTTATCTGCCCTGCTGCGTGAGGAGCTAACTCCCCACGGCCTAGACCTCGGGTGCAGGAGCTGACCACAGGGGTCAGCCTTGGCCACAGGCCCGAGCACCGCGGATCGGCAGCCCGGCTGCAGCCGGGGGCGGTTCCCGCTGCCGGCGCGGCCCGGACAAAGGCGGTCCGGCGCGGCCCGGTGGTGGGGCGGGATGCCATCACGCCCGGGCCTCCGTGTTTTTCACGACCCTTCACTTCGATTCTTCCTAGAGCCCGCGGGCTCTCGTCAGAACGACCGCGGCCTGACGAGTGGGGCACAGCGATGCTCATTCTTTTTTTTTTCCTTCAGCGCAACCTCCAGTTCCCCATCACATTGGGGGCTGCGGACGTGGCCAAATCGAATAAAATCTGAAATGTCTTCTTTGCTCTTTTCAGTTCAGCTAGTTTAAGTTCCATACAGTCTTGAAGCTGTGGGATTTAAGAATGTGTATAATTGTATTATACAATTTTCGACTTGCCTTTTCAAAGGCATTGCAACTTATAAGTACGCGTGCTCGGGGTGCCGGCGGGGAAAACCAGACCCAGAAAAACGCCCCGTCAGCTCCTCCTCAGGAATTCCGGCCTCAGCTTCCGCCTTCCCGCGCTTCCCTCCATCGCGGATCCCGTCCCGCCTGCGTAGGCGCGGGCGCGCGCGCAGCCGGCTGGGAGGCGGGGCGCCAAGCAGAGGCCGTCACGTCCCGCGCGTCGGGGGGGCGGGAACTCTTGCCGTGACGTCACTAGACCACGCCTCTCACCATCCAGATATCATCCCCGCCGCCCGCCATTTTGTCTCCAGTGTCTCGTTTGCCGTCGACAGCGTGGAAGGGAGTGTCTGGGTCTGCGAACGTCAGGCAGCCATCGGGGTCTATTGTCTGTGTTTGACCCCGTAGTTCGGTCCGAGGCCTTCCGGAGCTTCCCCGGGGCAGTCGGCAAGAGGCCGCCGCGACCGCCCCCGCCCCTCCCTCCGTCCGTCCCCGGGACCGGGAGGGACCCATCCCGCGTCACGCCCCTCAGCGCTCGCCGCTCTCTTCTCAGTCGTTGCGTCCGCATCGCATCCCCCGGAATCAGACGGTGCCCCATAGATGGCCAGCTTTCCTCCGAGGGTTAACGAGAAAGAGATCGGTGAGGAAACGGGACGGTGGGCGAGAGGGGTGCCGGCGAGCGCGCGGTCGGCTCGGGAGAGGCGGGGGCTCGGCGGAGGCGGGTGGGGAGGGGACCTCGGCGGAGGAGGGGCGCAGGGGGAGCCGGGCCGAGCCCGGGAGCCAACTGGAAGGAGGAAGCGGCCCCGCGCGCGGGTGCGTGTTGCGAGGGATCCACGCGATCCTCATGGATGCGGCGCCTGCCCTGCGCCGGGCCCCGAAGGAGGCGGCGCGCGGCTCTCAGGGTCCAGGGGACCGTGGGCGCCGAGGCGCGAGGGCCCCGCTGACTGCGGCCCGGGCCCGGTACCCCCCTGGGGACCCCTCTGTTCTCCGAGGTCCGAGCGGGGCCGTTTCCCTACGATCCCCCTCGCTGGGCGCCCATCAGCCGCCGGGGCGTGGAGTGCGCAGGGAGCGCGTTTTTTATGGAGCGAAAAGGAAACGCGTGTGCTGAGCTGCAGATAAGGAGAGGCGGGGGTCCTCGTGTGCCCACCGCTCTCGAAGGAGAGAAAGGCGACCGAGCGCCGCCATCAGCCGGGCAGAAGCAGTCTGTTAAGCACTGCCCGGCGTTCGTTCAGAAAGGGAGTGGCTCGGGGGAGGACGCCTCGGAGTTATCTTTCGGGCGCACAGGAGCCGGGAGGGGCCGGCGGCTGGGTGCGGTGACCGAAGAAAGGCTGTTGTACGGAGGAAGGGCCGTCTCTGGAAGGGCTGGCTGTGTGCGGGCTGGTTCCTGGCCAGCGCCGCCGCGATGGAGACGGGGGCCCCCGTAGGTGTGGCCGGTTGTGCGTCTAGATCTCGATGGGTCAGTTAAAAAGCACTTCACTTTTTTTTGTTTGGGTATTTTTTTGGGGGGTGGGGTGGGGGAGGGAGATTGAGGTACAGTGCATTGATAGACTTAGTAAGAATTGCACACGTTGTATCCCTGACATATATGTCCTTTTATTTTAGAAGTTAAAATAGAGGTAGCAACCCCCCAACCAAAAAACAAAAACAAAAAAAAAACACCCATCTATCTGAACTTAACTACGTTAATATGAAGGTGGCAGCTGAGGAAGAGAGCCTTTGCCTTTCCTTGTTCTTCAACTAAATGTGCGCCTTGACTAAATACACGGAGGAAGGTATTTGGAGAGAAAGGGAGAGGTTCAAGCACCCAAAACGCCCTCTAGCCTGTATATGGGTAAATTTTTTAATATTTAGAAACAGCTTAGAATTCTGGACGTCAGTTTTAAGGGTAAGGTATGGAATGGCAGTGTAGGAAGGGGGCTTTATAGTACTGATTTTAATAACTAAAAAAAAAAGGTCTTATTTTTTAGTCCAGTGGTTTCTCCCTCCCCTCATTACATAATAGAATCATCTACTAAATTAAATAATATTTTTAATTAAAAAATTAAAAAATATTTATTTAGGTCTCAGTGTTATTTCCTGCATATAAGGTTACTAAGTGCCAATATAAAAATACTTTGGTCTTTTCTAACTGAACAGATTTTTTAAATCCTCACGGAGGATATTTGAGAGAGAAACATCGATATCCATTGAGCTACCTCCCTGGATTAGTTGCCTCCTGAATGAGCCCTGACCCGGGCCTGGGTGCAAGGGAGGTAGGTACATGCCCTTGACAGGAATCATACCCAAACCTGCAACCACTGGCGGGTGGGAAACCAGCCAGGGCTTTTTTTTTTTTTTAACTATCATTTGGATACAAAGTTAAACACTAATATCTCTGTGTAGCTTTGTATCTATCTGTAAGGACTACTTTCCCCCTTCTTTCTTGGATATTAATTATACCTATTTTGTTTCTCTACTTCTACTGAAGGAGGGGAAACAAGAATCCATGAATAATTAAAGAAATCTATGTCGGAGTTACTGCCCTCTTTCACAAGGCACTATTAAAGATCCTTTCTGGTTATGAAATTGTAGGGAGGAATGTGAAGAAGGAGCTAAATTTGGTTCAGCAGTGACTCAGATGATGTGTACTACTGTACAGATATTAATAATGTAGAGTTGTATCTTACGGCCTAGCTCCCATGGCGGGCAGCTTTCCCTTATACTAGATCTAAATCATACATTTCTTAGGATACCAACATTAAAGAGTTGCAGGTAATAAAGGTTTAACTTATGACATTTTTTTCTCAAAGCACTTCATTATAAACCTTGTGCTAGTTTAAAATATTGTATCAGTAAGTATTTAAATGAGTGTTTAAGAGTGCAGGGTGGGAAAATAAATAAATAAATAAATGAGTATGTAAGTCCATTTGATTAACTACAAAGATCATTTGCTCTATCAAGAAACACAAGGTATTAATACATTACTTATAACAGTATTTGTCAGGTGTGCTTTTTATATTTCTTGAATTTATATTTAAGAATAAATTAGCTTGTTATTTCGTGGTCTTTTGTTTTATTTGAACCAGTTTTTTAGTTGATGATTTATTACCACCCTTTATATAAAAGGAAGTTTGTAATTGTGGCCAAGGTAAAAGAAGAAAAAAACACTCTGCCTTGTAATTAAAGATATTTTGGGTGCTGAAAGAAAATGCAGAATGATCCTAAAATACAGACAAAAAAAGATTATGGACTTGGAGGAATGTAAGGAAACATGGAGAGGCGAGCCCTTTCAAAAAGCCTTTGCATATTTAAAAAGTTATTCTGCAGGCATTTGAGAGTCACTCGTTTGGAAATTGTGTATTAAGAAAGTCACATTATTACTAATGGAGTAGGTGGTTGGGGCGGGGTGTGTTCTGCTGCTTATATGAAGTATTGTGTTTAGTTCTGGGTGCCACTTTTATGAGAGCCATTACTAACTGGAGTTTATCCAGAGAAGTATGATGAAGGTGAGGATGGGGAATGGACTTGAAACTACCCAATCTAAGGAATGATCAAAAGGACTAGAAATTTTTGCCTGGTGAAAATATTTAGTTGATGATGTCATAGCTGTCTTCAGCATATCCATGTCATGTGAGCAGGATTAGACTTATTCTCTTAGGTCAGAATCTGGACTGAGTGGGTGGAATGGCAAGAAGGAAGATTTTTGAGTCATCAAAAAGAAAATTTCTGATAATCTCAGCTATACCAAATTAAAATTAGCCTTATTAGATATTCATATTTATGAGTACCATAGGAAAATAGGTCTATTTTGTTCCTTTACTTTTTAAATCATAGCTTATTCATTAATATATCAAAGAATTGGGCAATGAAATATTTAAAATTGCTTAAGAATGAGAACTTTTACATGTGCTTTCATATTCATTCAATAGATATTTATTGAGCCCCTGTTGTGACAGGTGCTACACTAGCTGTTCATTTGAGACGGGAAGTGTCACTGAACATTTTGAGGTTTATATATCTGCCCTTACAATAGGAGTATCAGTAGTTCTTATTTGAATTGTAATACATAGAATAAATCAAAATTTTAATTGTTGGAAATAAACTGTAGAGATAACCAGGCAACTGACCACAAAATAGATAATAGGGAAACTAAACTTGGCAAAAACTTATAACTCAGAAGGAAGAATAGCAAAATTTGAAAGTAAAACCAACCCAAGATAAAGAACATCCTTTCCCAAAATTGAGGAAATTCCAGCTGAGAATGTACAGAAGGAGCTTATTGATCATGCATATTAAATACAGACTAAAAATTCTCTGTGCACTCTGTTAATGTGCCAGTTTTATTGACCAGGTTTTTTGTTTTTAGTTTTTAATTTAAACTTTAAAAAGCTCTTGCTTTGGAAAATTTTAGGAAACTTAACTTTGACAAAACTTAAAGATGTTATCGTTAAGTTGTCTTCACACCAGATATGTACCCTCAAAGAGTGGAAAGCAAAACTCATATCTTGTCCTCACAGGAAAGGGGAAAAATACTGAATGGAGTTAAGTGAGTCCCAAAGTAATATAGAGGTAGTCTCAAATTCATTGCTGGTTATATATAATTTCTTGTGTTTTTTTTTTTTCTTAACTTTTTCAGTGAGATCACGTACTATAGGTGAACTTTTGGCTCTAGCAGCTCCTTTTGACAAGAAATGTGGTCGTGAAAATTGGACTGTTGCTTTTGCTCCAGATGGTTCGTACTTCGCTTGGTCCCAAGGATATTGTACAGTAAAGCTTGTTCCATGGTCTCAGTGCCTTAAGAACTTGTAAGACACCTTTCTTTTTTGTACTTTGTATCTGCTTGTAGAATTTCCTGTTTTCACTATGTGGAGTAAGAAAAAAAATTTTTTTAAAGATACTGATATTTAGATTGTTATAAAAATATTTTATCATAAGCTGAATGTATTGGATAATTTGTGGGAAGAATTATCTGGCCTTATCCTATACTGGAGGTATGGTTCACGAAATTCACTGGGGTGGGGGGTGTTCCTCAGTCCAGCCTGGCTCCCAACTGCTTGCCTGCCTGATTGCCCCTAACTCCTGCCTGCCAGCCTGATCACCCCCTAACCATTCCCCTGCCAGCCGGGTCGCCTCTAATTTCCCTCCCCTGCTGGCCCAATTGCACCTTAACTGTCCTCCCAGTCAGCCCCAACTGCCCTCCCCTGCTGGCCTGGTCCCCCTGTAGAGGGCCCCTTGGGAATGCACATTGATGACCTTTAAATTAATGAAACTAACTTTGCCACGCCCTGGGAAGATGTTTCCCTGAAATGCTGGGAGACTGTTATCAGTACTGATTTCTTATCTTTATCTATGTGCTTGGAATAAGGAACGAATAGGACCTTGACTTACCCAGGTCTTGATATGCTAAATCCCAGGAATGTGGGAATGAATAGGACCTGGGCACACCCAAAACTTCTTTGACCTTAAACCCCCACTTTAAGTGCTTTGTGTTGTCTGTGGTGGGTGTTTGACGGTCTGTCCATCTGAGTGGCAGCCCCCCACCTGGATCCCAGCTTGAATCTATTTCTGTGTCTTGGTCTTTTTTTTTCTTTAATTTCTTAATCCCCAGCTCCTCCACTCAGGAACCTGTCATAAACAGCCCCTCACAACTCCCCAACTGCCCTCCCCTGCAGGCCTGGGTCCCCCATAACTGCCCTCTTGTGGCAGCCATCTTGTGTCCACATGGGAGTGGCCATCTTGTGTGTTGAAGTGATGGTCAATTCACATATTACCTCTATTATATAGGATATTGTAAAGGATAATAAAAGGCTAATATAATAAAAGGCTAATATGCAAATTGTCCCCTTGACTGGGCATTTTACCAGGGGGTGGGGCCAACTGCCCAAGACTCCTCCCACCACCCTGATCAGGGGCAGGGCCAGCCAGACCCCACCCATGCATGGATTAGTTCACTGGGCCTCTAGTATATTATAGAACACTTTCTTGTGTTTTTAATAAATGTTTTGGTGTATTAATAGGCAGATTAATTATGTAGTGTTTATACTGTGTTGTGCCAGATCAGATTACCTTTGTTATGTGATGCTTTTTAATATTTCATTAGATAAGAGGGGTATAGATCATGTAATTACTTTTTATGTACTTTTATCCTCTACTTATGTTTAATTGAGTTTGCTAATTGAAAAATTTTCTAAAATGTATCATATACTAAATTTAATCATTCCCTGCTTTTTGTGTGTGGTCTATTTTCATGGCTATACTTATTAGTGTCCTTATTACATATTACTTTAGGTCTAGAAAGTATGGGGAAACTACTGATTATTACAAGGGTGGTTTTAGGGAAATTTTCTGGTGTCAGCTTCTAAATACTTAGCTTCCCTTTGTGTGTGTGTGTGTGTGTGTTTATTTACACTTGCTTTAGGTTAATTAAAGGAGTCCTAACCGATATAGGGATTTTGAAACAAATAAATTACTTTATTATTGAACCTCCTCTTTTTCCGCTGAGGATTTATATTAATATTGAATATCACGATAATATTGAGGTTAACAAAAATCATTTCATATCCACAGAAGTCCAGAGTAACTAGATTTTAACCTTACTCTATTTACCCCCTCTCCCCCAGTCTCTTGCATGGCACAAAGAATATCACTAATTCAAGCAGTTTGAGATTGTCAAGACAAAACAGTGATGGTGCTCAGAAAAATAAGCCTCGTGAACATATTATAGACTGTGGTGATATAGTCTGGAGTCTTGCTTTTGGATCTTCAGTTCCAGAAAAACAGAGTCGTTGTGTAAATATAGAATGGCATCGGTTCAGATTTGGTCAAGATCAGCTACTCCTTGCCACAGGGTTAAGCAACGGGCGTATCAAAATTTGGGATGTATATACAGGTATGGATTCAGTTTTAAATGCAAGCTTGATTATTTTATGAGGCAGGGTGTTGCTAGTAAGCAGTAGAATATATGATTTGAGGTTTTAAACTTAGTGAAAAGCAAGAATTGGTACAATGTGTCTTTATAGTTGGCATAATGACATCTTCAGCTGTGGTTTTAACATAGGATAATAGAGTTCACACTGCTTGATCACTCTTGAGAATATTACAGCAAGAAGGGCATATCTAAGAATGTTTCGTTAATTATTATGACTCAAGAGCTAGGTGATTTCTATTTTCAGTAGTTGATAGCTTACACGTTTCAAGGCAAGTTGATTTTTAACAATCATCTAACTCTTTGGAAAGATTTTTTAAAATGAGTATTAGAATAATGTGTACTTTAGAACACAGCAAGTGGTACAAACTTGGAGTGGGGGTGTCATTAAATGTATTGGATTCTTGGAATAAACTTAAGCACAAAGATTTTCATGGAAGAAAAAAAAAACCACCTCTTAAAATAGTAGATGAACAAAGTACTTTCCCCCACTGAAATTATGTTTGAAAATTGTGTTTGTGAGATAACTTGCATTTTTGGGGGATGATAATCCACTAGTAATCCAAGGCTAAGGAAAATTTATATTTTAAAACCACATTATACAAAGATTTAAAAATGATAATTTTTAAAAAAATATATTTTATTGGTTTTGTACAGAGAGGAAGGGAGAGAGATAGTTAGAAACATCGATGAGAGAGTGTCATCGATCAGCTGCTGGGGATATGCCCGCAACCAAGGTACATGCCCTTGACCGGAATCAAACCCGGGACCCTTCAGTCCCCAAGCCGACGCTCTATCCATTGAGCCAAACCGGTCTTGGGATAAATTTTTTTTTTTTTAATATACTAAATTAACTTGTTCCAGGAATTTGTGTATGCTTGAGGAATTCGAATTCCCTTTTAATTTTTTCTAATAAATACAGGCTTTGTTGCTCAGTTGGTTGGGCATTTAAAAGGTTGCCAATTGGATTCCTGGCCTGGGTTATAGGCTTGATCTCCAGTGGCGGGCTTGTAGGAGGTAGCCAATCGATGTTTCTTTCCCTTTCCCCCTCATCTTTCCTCTCTAAAAATGAATTTTAAAAATCTTAAACACATGATGTAAACAGTGAATCATTAAAGATAATAGTAAAAAGTCATTTTTACTCATTAGAACTCAAATTTTTCTGAAACCTTGATACTTGTAATGCTTAAAGTTTTGGATAATCTATCTTGTTTGAGAGGACCATAGAGAGTATATCTTCCCTCTTAGTTTCTAATAAGTCATTTTACACTTGGTAAGTTAAAGATGTGCCCAAGTTTTTTAAATGGTGAGGAACACTATAAAGTAGTAACTGATAATAGTTGCTAACATTATCTTATTTTCCCTTTTTTATTGCATTTAGGAAAACTCCTCCTTAACTTGGTAGATCATACTGATGTGGTCAGAGATTTAACTTTTGCTCCAGATGGGAGCTTGGTCCTAGTGTCAGCTTCAAGAGACAAAACTCTGAGAGTGTGGGACCTGAAAGATGATGGTATGTCCTTTTTTCCAGGCTATGAAAAAGAATTAGTTTCTTGATATTACTACTGAAACTTCCTGGGGGCATTTGACTTTAAAAATGGCATATGCTCAGTTCCCTTTTTCTACTTAGTTCTTTGGTCCTTTTCCTTGTATTGATAATATAAAACCATAAATGTGACCTGAAATAGGAGCCAGCTGTTACTCTTAAGTAAACAATCTAATATTATTCACAAACTAACCACACAGATCTGTATCACTATTTGAGGATAGCATCTAGATCAGTTTTAGGGTTTTATATGAACTGGTCTGTGTTGGTTTATTTCCTTATCTTAGGGAGGGTTATTAACTTCCTTCATTTAGTGAAAATATAAGTAGACCTTCTTCAAACAGATGTAACTTAGTGATCTAATAAAATTTAGATTGAAATATGGCTTGTACATCAGAATTTATAATATGTAAATGCTAGTAAGGATATTATTATGTTGGATAGGTTAAGTAAGAAATTATCTTATAAAAGGAAAATTGTCCTTTAATGTAATAAAAGATATGCTAGTGCAATTACTCAAATTTTTCTGAAACCTTGATACTTGTAATGCTTAAAGTTTTGGATAATCTATCTTGTTTGAGAGGACCATAGAGAGTATATCTTCCCTCTTAGCTTCTAATGAGTATATTTTTAACTAAAATCTTGTATTTAAATAAGATCTGCTAATTCTCTAACAGTCTCAAGATGAAAGTTGACAGACTTGCTTAGCTAGCTTAATGTAGTAGGAAGCAAACCCCTCAGATTTGGGTAGCAATGGGTAGCGATCATTGCCTAATAAAACAATACATTACTATTCCTAAACAATGAGGTGCTTCTGCATTTTATCAATTCTCTGATTTCTCAGGTGCTGAAGGGTTAAGGAATCCCAATACTTAAAACAATTTGGTAATTAAATTTTAATTTTTTATATGTAAAAGTTTTTTTTACATATATAATGCTTGCTTTCTCAACATATTTTCAGTTGTGTGCATATGTCTTAAGAATGTAGACTTAGTAAAATGTAAGCACCAAGAGAGTAGGAATTTTTATTTACAGCTGTATCTTCACTGCCTGGCCTGTAGTAGGTATTCAGTAAATATTTATAAGATTAAGATTTAAAATATACTTAGCCATAATTGTGTGTTTAGGGTATAATGTACAGGGAATTTGGAGTAGAATATAGATTATCAAAAAGAAAGAAGGGTAAAAAAGGTATTTTGAAGATGCTTATTAAAACTTAACCTTGTTGTGTGTTTCAGTTCTTTCATTTGTAGAACAGAGGGATTAGACCAAAAGAAGTCTTTTCTATAAATGAAGGATGAGCAGATTTTCTTAAAGAGCTAACTAGCAGATGTTAGGCTTGTGAACTATGCTAACTGCTGTAGTTATTCAATTCTGCCATTTGAGTATAACATAAACAAATTGGCATGATTGTATTCCAATAAAACTTTAGTTACAAAAATGAGTAACTGATGTGTATTGCTAACCTATTGTAGATAAATCACTGTCACTGTGATTCTGCCATTTTTTTGTGATTCTGCCATTTTTGAATGCTACTCATTTGAAGTGGATTCTAGGGTTAACACGGGTATTTCTTTTTGTTCAGGAAACATGATGAAAGTATTGAGAGCCCATCAGAACTGGGTGTACAGCTGTGCATTCTCTCCTGACTCTTCCATGCTGTGCTCAGTGGGAGCCAGTAAAGCCGTATGTATCAAAGTTCTTATACATTTGTTTTGAATTAGATTATAATAATGTGTGCATAATCACTTTTAAATCTAAGTAACATATCAAGTCTGTGCTCGGTGTCATGAATATCTTAAATGTTTCATTTTGTGATGGAGTATTTGCATGAGGGAAATTAAATATAATTGATTAAGTAAGAAATTGTATTACGTTTAGTTAGAGATACTATTCATAAAAGAAGGGGTTTGTTAATTTTATTTTTCCCTAAGATCTAGGAAAATTTATGTGCTATAGAAGAGATATAGTCCAAATGTTAAGACATTCCCTTGCTAATAATTTTCTTCTCTGTTGTTCTATTTTTTTTGTCCAGTTTGCTGTTTAAAAAGTTTGAGTCCCAGCTGGTCCTGGACATTTAATGAGAAAAAGTAACTTAAAAACCTAATAAAAATGAAAATAGCACTCATGTATATTCTAGAGTGATTTATAGAAGAAATTTGGTATGATCTGTCTTATGCTAATTGGCATAGCATACCTGTACACCAATTAAGTATAAAGTAATTCTTAAATTAAGTATAAAGTAACTCTTAAGAGGGTTACGCTTATTGATGAATTCTCTAGTTGTCTACCAGCTCAGTATAGTTAGAGATCTTTTTTAGCTTCAGATATTTACTGAAAATGATTGAAGTCCAAATACATGTGATAATGGGGTGGGGGAGGCTGATTAAAATGCATTTTATCTGTCCAAGAACTATGTTAAAATGATAGTTGCAAATGTTGGAAGTTTAGAAAAAATATTTAGTTTAGTTCTTTAAAAATCATAAGAACAACAAAGCTAGATGTTGACATTGCTATTTTAGGTTGTGTGTTTTCCATATGCTTCTTGCTTTCCCTGTCACAGGTGGTGGCAGCAATATTGGTGTGATTGAGGTTATGCTGGCACCACTCGCACACAGGCGCACAATGGTGTTAGCTGGGCAGAAAGAGTGGCATCTCTGGCTACCGGGCTGGGGGCGACCTTTACCATAGGATGAAGTAACCTTGCATTCGGCTGCAAGGTGTACTGTACGTACACAGGTGCTGGTCGATGTCCACTTTCTGCTTTTCTTTCTTTCTTTTTTTCTTTTTTAAAATAATTTCCCCCCAGTGAAACCCAATGACTCCTACAAGTAAATTGATCTTCCAGTCTGATGGAATTGGGAGTCTGACATGTGAAACCATTGTAATGTAATGTAATTGGCTTTCAGATGGTTTCTCTGTACTATTTTTTGGAATTCTTTGAGATGGTAGAGATACCTTAAGTCTGATCCAATTAAAAATTTGTGTGTTTTTCCCCCCCTTTTGGAAATAATATATTGTGTCTGTGCAGAAAAAAAAAAAGTAGCCAAAAGGATTGTTTTATCCCAAGTGGAAGAGAAGTTCTTACTAGAATTATTAAATTTCCATGCTCACATTTAGTATTAACAGAGTGCAGTAAACATTTGAATCCTATTTATAGCTATTCTGCACAGTCTAATTACTGACTTTAGAATCTAAAAACTATATGTGAACTTGTACTAAAGTAATTTATATGTTTTATACTTAAAATGACTAATAATGATTGTGTGGTCAACTTGGGAAAATCAGATTAGCAAATCTTGATTCACAGAAATGTTGTTATTGTATTGTTTTCATAAATTAGCATTTTCATTTTGTAATGTGGTTTAACATCTTTGTTGTTTGCCAAAGAAATTTCATTTGGCTGTGAAAATTCTCCTTGCTTGCAGTATCTGTTTCTCTTCCTAGGCTCACGTTGGTGACCCAAGCCTTTTGTAAACAAGTGATATCTCAAAGGAGATGCCAATGGAGTAACAATTTGTTAACCTTACATTTTCTGTCTGTATATTTTTTTAAAATTTGGTAGTTTCTGGAGGAAAAAGAAAGGGGTTTGTAATACTTAACCCTATTTATTTCTGTATATTTTAATTAATTAGTTTTTGGAATAAATGGATTTCAGTATAACTGGTTAAATTACATTGCCTTTTTTACATATAGGCTTATTTTTAAATTAACATTTAACAGAAACATTTGAAATAGAATTTGCATGTCTACTTTAATTAACTTAAAGACTGATTTTAATCTGACTATGACACTGAGCATATTCTTTTAATTATCCATAATTTATAATCTTTAATTTAATATAATCTGAATTAAATTTAGCAGTTTTAGTTTAAGATGTGCCATTTTGTCCTCTGTGTGTCTGAATGAAGCTATAACATTTGCCTTTTTATTGCAGGTTTTCCTTTGGGACATGGATAAATACACAATGATACGGAAACTAGAAGGACATCACCATGATGTTGTAGCTTGTGACTTTTCTCCTGATGGAGCATTACTGGCTACTGCATCTTATGATACTCGAGTTTATGTCTGGGATCCACATACTGGAGACATTCTGATGGAATTTGGGTGAGTACAGCACAAATTACTTTAGTCTGTAATTCATCTCTGGCTATCAGTATAACTTTTTTTTTTTTTTTGTCTTTATTTATTTATTTTTACATATTTTATTGATTTTTTTTTTACCCCCCTCCCTCCCTCCCTCCCTCCCTCCCACACATCCCCTCCCTCCCCAGAGTTTTATGTCCATTGGTTGTATTTATATGCATGTATATAAGTCCTTCTATTATCTCCCCCAGATCTTCCTCCCCTCCCCACTGTAATTTGATAGTCTGCCTGTTGCTTTACTTTCTCTATCTCTGTCTCTTGGTTCAACTTTTAAAAAATTATAAATGATTAGAATTACATGTGAAACCTAAAATTGCTGTCTATTGGAATTTAAAATTTTGTTATTTATTTAAGCTCTTGAAAAATGAAAACTTTAAATATAAATTCTAAAATTAAACTTGGCTCTCTTTATGCAGATCTTGTTATTTAACAGGATATGACTCTATAGAAGTGGTAATTATATTTAGAGTTTCATGTTGGGAAAAATAGTTAAAACTAGAGTTGAACTTAATGTTGGTGCTTTAAACCACATTCTTAAAGAGAGAATAGTAATTCTTTTCAGGTCCCTTTAATTTGGATACATCAGCTCTTCTTAAATCTTCTTAGCTATGTTAAGGCCACTTTAAACATTACTCAAAAATAGAAGTACTTTGTTCCTGGTAGTTTTGTTTCTTAAAATGATTCATTTCCACTGAAAACATGTGTTTTGACCTCAGGCACCTGTTTCCCCCACCTACTCCAATCTTTGCTGGAGGAGCAAATGACCGATGGGTACGATCTGTATCTTTTAGTCATGATGGACTGCATATTGCAAGCCTTGCTGATGATAAGTAAGTGTGTGAATTACAGCTTGTAATTAAAACTTTCCTTTTATCTGTCTACTTATAACATTCTTATGGCTAAAGAAAATAAAAAGCCTTTTTGCAGTTTGGGTTTTAGTGTCTCTTTCTCTAGACAAGATCCTGGGAGATGTTGGTATGTCTTAAAGAATGTTGACCTGGTCAAGACCGGTTTGGCTCAATGGATAGAGCATCAGCTTGGGGACTGAAGGGTCCCGGGTTCGATTCCGGTCAAGGGCATGTATCTTGGTTGCGGGCATATTCCCAGTAGGGGGTGTGTAAGAGGCAGCTGATCGATGACTCTCTCTCATCGATGTTTCTAACTCTCTATCTCTCTCCCTTCCTCTCTGTACAAAATCAATAAAATAAAATTTTTAAAAAAAAATGTTGACCTGAATAATATCCATGTAAACTAAAGATAATGCATACCTTTCCCTGTGTTCTTTTTTTAAAAATGTTTTACTAGACGCCAATGCATGAAATTCATGTAAGAATAGGCCTTCCTTCTCCCATCGGCCAGCACCGGCTTCCCTTACAGCCCCAGCTTTGTCAGGAAGGATGTCCAGTCTAATTAGCATATTAAGCTTTTATTATTATATAGATTGCTGACAGTATTATAGATGTCTTCCATTTCTCTCCACTTTGCTCCCTTCCCACTCAGTCTCTCCCCCCTCCCTGTGTTCCTTGTTTGTTAACTAGTTCTGGCGAACTGGGTGGTTTTTAATTAGTGTTTAGCCTAGTAGCGCTATCTTAAAAACGTTGAAGTAAAAGAACATTGTCAAAGTGATAAATGGTAAAAAGAGTAATTTATATCCACTGCAATTGAGACTACAAGATGAAATGTCACATGAATGAGATGTAGTTGATCTAAATTACCAGGTGGTATAGACTATACTTTAAAATAATGTGTGTGTGTGTGTGTGTGTGTGTGTGTGTGTGTGTGTGTGTGTGTGTATATATATATATATATATATATATATATATATATATTTGTATTGATTTCAGAGAAGAAGGGAGGGGGAGATAGAAACATCAATGATGAGAGAGAATCATTGATTGGTTGCCTCCTGCACCCCCCTCACTGGGGATCAAGCCACAACCCAGGCATATGCCTTTTACCGGAATCGAACTCGGGACCCTTCAGTCCATAGGCCAATGCTCCATCCACTGAGCCAAACCAGCTAAGGCTACTTTTTTTTTTTTTTTTTTTTTTTTTTTTTTTTTTTTTAATCCTCACCTGAGAATGTGTTTGTTGGTTTTAGGAGGGGTGAGGGAGAAACATCAATTGGTTGCCTCCTGTACACACCCCATCCAGGGATCTGAACCTGACCAGGAATTGAACCCACAACCTTTTGGTGCACAGGACGATGCTCCAACCAACTGAGCCACCTGGCCAGGACAAGACTATAAAATTTTTTATAAAGCACAGTAATTGCTATTTGCAGTGATTTGTGTGTGTGTGTGTGAGTGTAACGGTTTTGTGATTTAGAACATACTGGTTTTTCTTTGTAAATTTTAAAGTTGCTTTTACTTGAAATTTCCTACTAGATATTTACTGGACAATGTTTTTCCTTTTCAGAATGGTGAGGTTCTGGAGAATTGATGAGGATTATCCAGTACAAGTTGCACCTTTGAGCAATGGTCTGTGCTGTGCCTTTTCTACTGATGGCAGTGTTTTAGCTGCTGGGTAAATTCATTTTACTACTTTGTTTTTAACAGACAATTTCAGGAGGTTTTTAATCACAGCAGCCAGTATTGTCAGTAAATCTTTAATAAAGACTTTTTATAATATCCTCTTTGTCATAGAGGATATCAAGATCATGGGTTAGGCCTCTTTAATTAGAGAGACAGAAACATTAATGATGAAAATCATTGAGCTTCTGCCTCCTGCACGCCTCACACTGGGGATTGAGCCCGAAACCAGACATATACCCTGACCAGAAACAACCTATGACTTCTTGGTTCGTAGGTCAATGCTCAACCACTAAACCACACTGGCTGAGCTTTAATTAGGTTTTAACGTGAAATTTGTGACTAATATACAGCCTTGGATGATAACGGTTTGAACTGTAGTTTGTTGAAATACATGTATTTGGATGACCGAGCTTGTGATTTTTTGTTTTGTTTCTGTTTAGGACACATGATGGAAGTGTGTATTTTTGGGCCACTCCAAGGCAGATCCCTAGCCTTCAACATTTATGTCGCATGTCAATCCGGAGAGTGATGCCTACTCAAGAAGTCCAGAAACTGCCGATTCCTTCCAAGTTGTTGGAGTTTCTTTCCTATCGTATATAAGAACTCTAATAAGAGTAGTAGGGACTGATGGAACACACTTTACACAAACCTCAAGCTTTACTGACTTCAAGTATCTGTTTGTCAAGGTTTAGATTTATTTAATTTGATATGTTCTTGTACTGCATTTTAATTAGTTGAGTTTTTTTAAATATTATTTATAGACCACAGTAGAAATATTTTGAACATATAAAATGTAATTTTTTCTAAAATTTAACTGTGAAAACATACATACATGTGCATATTTAGATATAAGCTGCTATGTGTTGAACGGACCTTTCTGCTTTTCTAACTTTAGTTCCAACATTTATGCATTGTTTCAGTAGAGCCACAACATATATCTTTCCTGAAAGTATAAGGAAGTTTTTTTTTTTTTTTTTTGAACACTGAGTTTAGATGGTAAATATTGACTTAAGAAAGTTGAATTGCCTCATAAAATGCATTTGGCGGTAAGGGGCAGACAACTGACTTGCAAGTAAAACAAAATTTTTGTATAGGAAAAGGATTTTGTTTTCCTTAACAACGGCATCTGAGAGAGAGAGTTTGAACGTGACATTATTCAATTAAAAACAGCCAGGATATAACTAGAAAAGAGGTGCCCTTCTCCCTCCCTCCCAAACTACTGCTGCAGACTTTAATGTTGGAAAGCAGCTTGTTACTTTAACCTTTGTATATAAAATATTATAAATTGAAATTTGAAATAGTCAATTTGGAAATCCATCTACTGATTATTTTATTGCTAAATATTTTGCTATTTGTAGTAAGCTTCAGTTATTTTAAGACCATGGTTTTGTGCTTTTTGTTGTTTTGTTTGTTTTTACATGTATCCTATGTTTCTGTAGGGGATAATATTGGTAACTTAACCAAAGAGAAGCAATACAGCATACCTGCTTTTGCCCTCTGTTATTTATCTTACCTGCAGATATTAAGAATGTATGTATCATGTAAAATTCTGATTATATATTTTTGGTGAGTTTTTTTTAATTAAAGACAAAAAAAAATCTTCTGCAAATGTTTCTTCTTTTTTTAATATATTTTATTGATTTTTTTACAGAGAGGAAGAGAGAGGGATAGAGAGTTAGAAACATCGATGAGAGAGAACCATCGATCAGCTGCCTCTTGCACACCCCCTACTGGGGATGTGCCTGCAACCTAAGTACATGCCCTTGACCAGAATTCGAACCTGGGACCTTTCAGTCCACAGGCTGACGCTCTAACCACTGAGCCAAACTGGTTTCGGCTGCAAATGTTTCTTGATGTTGGAAAGTTTAATGCTTTTTGTCTGTCTTCATTTTAAGATTGATGGAGCACTACAAACAAATTAAGTAAGGTAGTGAAGAAATAGCACAAGTATATGGCTAGAGTTAATGCTTCATAGATATAACTTGTACATTGATTTCTTCTGGGAGAATTGTTGCAGCAATGCTTTAAAAATAGCTTTTTTGAATGAATCATTCTCCTAAAAGGCCAGAATTGCTTGCTTCCTTTTCTCGTGAAAACCATAGTGTCAAGATGAAAGGGAGATTGAAAAATAAGAGTCAAGAAGAAACATGCTTATATCTTCCATCCTTTGGGAAGAAGGTAGTAGTAACAGGATGGTAATACTTTATTAGTGTCCAAAGCAAGGGAAGTAGGGAAGATGTAGTTGGAGTCTTAACATGGGTCAGATTCTGACGACATGGTTTTAAAATGATACTGCTGCTTTCTCTCTTCTAGTCTTTGCTATGAGCACATCATTTGGAGAACTGGCAAGAGATTATTTCTATTTAGATTTTATTTCCTAGTTTAGTGCCAAATAGGGCTGTGTGTAAACAAGGAAATGCTTCTCATGTTCAGTAGCCAAGCTATCTTTTCACAATTTCAAATGCTCTAAAGTGACTTCAGATAACTTAAAGTCCTATAATTTGATCTTAGGTGGCAAATCTTAAATTTTTTATCCCTGAAATTCCCTGCCTGCTTGTGATTAAGACTAGGTTGGATTCAACTGGTTTTCACTGCCTTCAGGGCAGCAAGACCAAAAAAGGCTGGATGGAGCATTCTTATGTGTTGAAGCATGGGGCTTGTGGATACAGAGGACCTGGCTGTCGGCCAGCCAGCATAAGGATAAGAAAATACAAAGTAAAACATTGTCTCACAAGCCAGAAACCATTGAGAATGGATCTAACTTCCAGATTAATCAGAATGAAGATTTGTGGGTGATGAACATTTTATCCCAAGTAATTCTGATCAGATTCTTGCCTAGGACAGTGTTTCAACTACAGAATTTAAAGTACACTGATTATTTTTTTACATCCTTCCCCCCTCAGAAGTAAGAGCTTTTGGTAGCAAACAAAGTATAATCAGGAGAAAGGGTCATCATAACCTTGCCATATGTTTATACCAAGGTGTTTGGGAGGAATGAAGATTAATGGACAATCTCAGCCTGCCTTTTGCTTTGTAAAACTTGCCTTTATAGATTTGTGTGGTTGTGACTTGGTATTTATAGAGGTTTATTTTAACTGTTGAATCAGGAGGGGAAGGAAGGCTGAATGAGGCTAGGATTGGGGAAGAAAAAAATGATTTGATTTCATTTAAATGAACTCCAGCATTATTTTCCATATTAGAGACTGCAACTGTGATTATCCTTGTGGTTTCTGTTTTAGAGAAGTGTTAGAAATCCAGGAGCTTTTGCCACCTGTAACATTACAGGAAGTTGCTCTTCTGGTGTGAAAATAAACCCCCAACTTTGTTAAGGAAAAATTATAATACAGTGATGATGGTGTGGGTTTTTTTTGTTTTGTTTTGTTTTTATGTTGGTTTTGTTTTAAATTAGTCTGAAGCAGTAATGGCTCTTTTTAAAAATTATTCTCCAAAAAGAGTGTGAACTAGAAATCATCTCTTGTAAAGTCAGGAAATGTGATGAAATGACTTGCAATGAAGACAGATGAAGTGGCAACTCCAGTAAATTGTTTTATGCATATTATTAATAATAAAATGTTCTCATATAAAAAAAGGATTATGTATGTTAAAAGTTACCTGAGAAAGAGGTATAAAATGGAAATTATAAAGATAAAATTTTACTAAGTGAGCCAAATGTTTGGTTCTAAACTAACACAAAATGGCAAGCCCACCCAGTAAGTCATAACTCACAGTCTCAGCAATTGTGAGGAAATACTTCGTTTACTATAGGACCAGCAGGCATGCTTCCTGAGAATGTTGTAAGTAGATGGAAGCTCAGCTGGATTACACAGTCACTTTGTATTCCTCAATCACTTCCCCACCTCCAAGTCCTTGGTGATGTTTGGCAGGAATTACAAAGGTTTCACATTCTCTTGAATGATACCAGTTGAGCTTAGAAAAAGCAACCATTCCTTTGGGCAAATTATATTCCAAGGGTCTGCAGTTCCAAAATCAAAGGTTGTCTCCATCATCCCCTATTTTCTAACTGATTTTACTCAATTTTATGGCATTCCCAATCTTACAGACGATTTGAGTTTATAACCTTAGCTGGTTTCTTTTGACAGTTGCAGATAAACTGCCTCAGCCCAAAGCGGTTTTGCCTTTTTCTTAAATTCCATCAGTCTTCATTAATTTCCATACCACTTGGCCTTCCAGTTATGCTCTATTACAGTCCTTAGGGATTGATGCCTCGTTTAGTAGGCAAAGAGGTCACACCTGGGTGGGGATTAGGCTCTTATCCTACTCTCTGGGGGCTCAGCTGGCATTTGGATCCCAGCGACTGGTTGTTAGAGCCATGGAAAGATGAGACCAGAACCTGGTCAGCAGGCATGGAAGCACCCCTGGTTTGGAGAGGCCCAGTGCCAGCCTATCCAGCTCGTGCTGAACAGAGAAAGCAGCTATCGGGACTGTCTGGGTCATGCTGCTCAACTGCTGGCAGAGACCCAGCCTTCTAGGCTTGGCCCCATCTGGCCTCGGATCAGGAGGATGTTCATATGGCCTAGTTTCTCATCCCGGGGCCTGCTGCCCAGAGGACTGAAGTGGTACTGGCTGAGGCTCCAGTCCTAAGAAAGGCAGGTGATTGCTGAATTGGCTGCTCAATAGCTTGCAACTTGGGGAAGTTTGATATATCAATAATAATGCCTTTTCTATATGAATAGTGTTTAGCTTTTATTTCATAACTGCACCGTGTTGGTTCGTGGTAGTCATTTGACAACTGTTACTACTATCACTTGAGCGCTGGCTGTGTGCTCATTGCTGTCCCTGGTGCTTCTCAACAACTGAAGTGGTATTACTTCCCTTTTATAGCTGTGGAGGTTCAGAGAGACCAACTCTACTCCCCTAGGTCATACAGCTAAGAAATGGCATCCAGGATTTAATTCTGGTTACTCTGTCTCCAGAGCCCTGTTTCTCTCCATAATGGGCATGATGGGCACTATAATTTAGGAAAGGCACTCAGTCAACATCAGACTCCTAAATTAGTGCCTGCATTAGTCTTTGCTAATCCCTTCGGGTCAAGTATGATATCAGGCTTAACCTCTTCAAATACATTCCACCTTTCACTGCATTGTGGAAAAAACAAAGGAGGAATAACTCCAAATATAATTTGGCAATCAAAACCCACTCAGACAAGAAAATGACTATTGAGCTCTGACCTTTGCCCATTGCCTAGGGAAATTACTCTGGACATCGGTTAGTTTTTCCTCCTCGCGGCTCTCAGGAACTTAATCTTAAATCATTTTTATTGCCCATCTGAACAACCCAACTCAGACATGCTGAAGCAGGAAGCAGCAAAACAGTCACTGGAGGTGAGAAAGTCAAATGACCTTGCAGCCACTGGCTTTAGAGATCAACACTAGGTCTGGTTACAAGCTGCCAAATCCTGCGAAAACCCAAGCCCCTTGCACCAGCTGTGCAGACAAGGTTAGACTCAACTTGTCTGGAGCTGACCCAGCAGGAGCAGCCGCCACCAGAGTGGCACTGGGCCAGAGTCCTGGAGGCCAGGCTGGATTGGGTGGAAGTTATTCAGGTCAACTGATGCATCAAAAGAGCACCGACATTTCATA